CCTGGCCTTGAACCCTTCTGGGGCCGGGGCAGCCACAGCTTCTCTGGGCAACTTCTCTGGCCAGTGCCTCAGCACCCTCACCGGGAAGAATTTCTTCCTTATATCTTATCAATCTTCCCTCTTCCAGCTTAAAGCCATTGCCCCTTGTTCTATTGAATCTTTCTTTGTCAATTTGAGTCCAACTCTCCAGTTTAACTACAGCACCCGATTGCCCAAGCATCACCCACTCCTCCAATTCTACCTGGATGGGCCCTGCAGGTGATCGCCTTCACATTCTTCAAGCCTTAGCAAAGTTAGCCAGGGACCCCTACACCGTTTATACTCTTCTCACCTACTGAAGAGTGCTGAGAGCAGCAAACAGATATCACAAGCACAATCACAAATTACGGCCAACCCTGCTTGCTGCAAGCTGCTGAAATCCTGTTGGACTTTATAAAGCAAACAGGTTTTCTGTTTACATTTAAAATGTAAACTAACTACTCTCTACATTGCTCAATGATCTCCTTATGTTTGGACCTGTCTTCCAATATCACACTTGCTTGGGATACGAGGTCCATATTTTGTGAAAGGATTGCTTTCAGGGAATCACTCAGAAAATTAAAGCTTAAAAATCTGCAAAGCTTGTAAGCACCTCCAGATAGATGCTGCCAATGACTATTCTGCCAGGGTAACCACCCACAGCTCTGGAGGGGGCATCTGGGGGAGAATATCCATTCCTCAACCACCACCGTACAGCCTCCTAATCTTCACTGATGGTTTTAACTGATAGCTAGGATGGGGATGCGAAGCAGGCGAGATGCCACACATCCCGTTCTCCTCCTCATCAGAGAGGAAGGATGGACACTGGAGTAGTGATGTTACAAGCCACCCCAGCACAATGCACTAGAGAAGGTCTGTCAGTACCCCAGGCCAACATGGTTGCTCACTCAAAAGTTGTTAATTAATTGACTTGTAATGCCTAACAGGAACAAAGTACCTTCAGATTTAAAATAACTTAAAAATAAAAAGTAATTATAAATTCCAGTACTTCTGCCCTTTCTCTAGAACCTTTTCAGAAGATAATTAAGACATTCATATAACTTGTGTAAAAGGCATTTTTAAAAGAACCTTTTTTCACCAGAAGTGGGAAAAAAAAGACATGTTGGGATTTGGCAAGCTTAGCTATAATTACAGAAAGGAGAATGTTGACTCTGAGCTGCCTTGTCTTTATTATTTTACAGATATGAAGTTTTGTTGCTTCGGTAGAAGCGAGACAAAGAGCTCAGTGAATGTCGTCTGCAAGCTGGCTGCCAACTCACATACAAAATGTACGATACGTGGGTCTGCACAGCTTGACAAGAAAATGTCACCCTGGCATGAGGAACCCTAAGACACAACACAAGTCGCTGCAGGAGCCTCCCTTGATCAGAGGCATTTGCTTGCACAGTTTATCCCTACCTTGATGTAAGCCAGTGAGAGGACAGCACCTCGGAGCATGTCTGAGCAGCTCTTCGGTCTTGGCTCTGGTTAACAAAGGTGGAAAAGCACATTTCACAATCAGGGGTCCCTCCCATGCCAAACATCCCGCCGACAGCTCTTTGTCTCACTTCAGATCATCCCTTTTCACCCCTCGCAGTTTGCTGTCTCCACACCCTAACGTCTCAGCTCTGCCCACGGACCCAGAAAACCCAGGGCCGACTCCAAAACGCCAGCGTGATCGTACCTCTCAAAATAAGAGTTTGCTCTGACAGTGAATAATCACACTCGCTTCGTTCCCCAAGGAATCAAAAGGCACAGCTCGAAGCAGGCTATCCCAAGGCACTTGAGGAGAGTTGTTAAAAGGCATCCAATGGAACAGGCAAAGGTGAGACTTTTCCCCCATTATAGGAGAAAGACCAAAAAAAAAAAATATAAATCTATTTTCCCACAGTACTGACAGCCTGGGCACTCAGAACCAGGCTAGACCTTACTAACATATGCGAAATGCACATCCACTAGGCATTATGGCATGATTCCTCAGCTGGCTCTTCCTGAAGGTCTTCCAGGAGGTCCCATCAATGCTATCTATGCTGGGCAGGTTCAGCTACAGGCAGAGAACCCTCGCCTCTGTCACCAGCTAATACAGAAATACAGGATTTTCCTCGGATTTAAGAGCCAGCAGTCAACAACTGAGCACAGCATAACCCAGACCCTTTCCTTCATGGCCCGGTGGCACAAGCAGATGTTGAGCAAGAGGAATCTGTGCGGTCACACCTGTCAGATTAGAGACATTTTCAAGTTGAGGGATGGTGACCAGGCTCTGTCGGCTGAATCCTACTAAGAGACCATCAAAAGTCACCGGGTGCTCTACAGGGGTACGACTCCACACGCATTCACTGCTCTTGGGTTGGGTTCGTCTGTCACCGCCCAGGACCTGAAGAAGGTCATATTTTGCCATCACCAGCTACAAAAAGCAAATGAAACTCCAATCAATACAAAGAGACTGATGAAGAAGGAAAAGTTACTCACCTATTAACTACCCTAATTTGCAAACACACCATATCCCTGTCATCCATAGCTGTAGCAGTTGACACAGGTCAAGCCAAAAGCATCTTGACTTTGTTCTCAGCAAAGGATGGCTCCTCACACTGTTTCTAATATGAAATATTTCTGGAAGGAACTAAGTGCAAAGTTATTCAGCTCCTACCTAAGACCGAGGTTTTGGCAGATGTGGATTCCAAAGCGCTTTATTTAACATATATACATGCATAAATATCAGTTAAGCTGAGTGATAAGGGCTATACCAATAAACTGAGCCCCAGCAATATTTATTTGTGAAAATACTGCTACTACGTATTTCAAGAAGTCAAAACTTCATTTTTTCAGTAGCTTTCCTCCTACTTTCTTTTCTATTCCAGTATTATTTATGGATAAGATTAACTAATTAAAGTAACTAACAAGCCTGAACACAACTGACCCAAAGGATACATGATATCACATAGTGGAAAGGTTCTTCCCTATTTTTCATAAAGCGAGCCCTGATTTCTGCATAGAAACTCCTGTTATGGTGTAGCAAGACAATGCACACAAGTCAGAAGAAAAAATGAGAAGAGGGCAGTCTTTTAGCTAATTTCCTCCATGCAGAGGTCCACAGCGCTACTCTGGGGACATGAGCTTCAGCAGCCTCCAACTCTTCCACCCCGTTTCTCCCCTGGCCAGTCCTTTGAGCCCGTGCCTTGAGCCAATGCCAAAAAATAATCCTTTCCAGGCTGCTCCCTTTTAACGACTTTTTGGCTGACGAGCAGCCGCAGCTCATCAGATGACAACCTCAGGTACAAAAGGCTCACCAGCCACCCAAGGCGCCAGGCTTAGGAGCTGGCCCACCACATCAAGTTTCTTTTCTCCTGGGCCACTCCTTCGCCAAATGGCTGCTATTTGTCGGCGTTTTCAGTTTTGCTTACGACTAACAGCACGACCAAGAGTTCAGCTGTTGGAGAAGCATCATTCACACATGACTTCAGAGACCATGACCGACCCGAGGATCTCTGGTGGGGGCACTCAGATTGGTGGGTGGTTGTGCTGCTGTGGACAACAAGCTCAGGTCAGTGTATTAATCCTCAAATATTGTCATGTTCTCACCACCTCACGTTCCCACTTGGGCCTCCACATTACCTCTACATCCTTTCAGACTTAAAAAAGGCAAACAAGTGAAACACACAAACAGACAAGGCTCACCTGTTAAAACAAACATCTCAAATCTGCAAAAATCTGGAGTTGAGGAAAAAAAATTAAGTGCATTTTCTGGTGGGAAATTTAAGGTAGTAGCACCAGAACTGAGGCACACAAGAAATAAGTAATTTACTATACACACGTTATTTTCTAAGGAGAAAAGCTAAGCACTGCAGACCGATAACAGCATGAGGCAAGAAAAAAAAAAAGGTACAACCAAATACTCAATGCACATGAGTTGTGGTCTTAAAAGGAGAGGTCTCGAGCGAGCGAGCAAACAGCAATTCAGAATTGAAATAATCCAGCTTGCACTGACTTTCAGAGGAGCACAAACAGGCCGGTTATTTATATTCTGTCAGAACAGCAGAAGGACCCTGCTAACAGCCTTGGGGGGGTTTTTATTTTATTAAAAGAAGTAGCTGTACATGTTAAGACTCAAATCAGTCAGTTGCCAAGAAAAATTTAACTGGAGGGTACAGCAAGAAACAATGTGGCATTATCTGCAAATTCACTTGTTATAACAATGACTTTTTAAATACAAACCCCAAAATACATACCCAGATTTTTATCACATAAGGATACTTTAAATCTGAAGTATTTGCTTATGTTTCATAGACATCATAAAAGTCTGATTAACTTCACTATTAGTGCTTCAAAGAAACATGGTTTTAGTTGGACGACACATTTTCAAAGGTCAGATACGCAATGTTCGCACTCCCACATCTATGCACACCAAATACTTCTTTCTGTAGTTTTCCACCTATAAATTAACCAATGTTCCATTTGATAATTTATGTTACGCATAAAGTTGCATCTGAAGACAACCCACAAGCTCCTCTGAAGACAACGGGACCGGCCAAGCTTGCCCTACACGTTCCTACAGGACAGTAAGGACAACACCACGATGCCGTACCTGCCGGGAAAGGGTGGAGGGCGAAGGACGGACTTCTTCAAGGGTGACAAGAGACAGCTTTAGAGACAGACACACCGAGACCTGTAGCCGTCCCGCCAGAGCATCACCAGCCCCAAGAAGAGGCACGCACGCCTGGTGCCCACCTCGCACGTGGCCCTGCACACCCAGCCTCACCCCGCAGGGCTGCAACTCGGAGCCAAAAGGCAGCGGCACCACAGCCAGTACCGACGTCAGCACCAGGGCAAAGGGAACTCCTTAAAAATTACAAACTACGTAAGGGTGTAGGGGGTAAAAATCTGAACCTGAACTATCTTGGGTTTTCAGGACGAACCTTTGCTCAGGGAAACATTTCAACTACAGTCGTGGTTGTGCAATAACAAAAGCAACTCCCACTGGGATGAAGGACACAGCAGGCACACCAGATCTGCCAACAGACCCGGGAAGGCACCGGTCCCCTCACCGGTCCCGCTCACACCATCGCAACCTCCAGCCTGCCAACCCACACCAGTAACGCAGCCGAGACTGAGCCACCTCTTTTTTGGGGGGGAAGACTGGGGGTCCACAAAGAGGAGGAAAGCACCAAGCAGGGAGCCTCGCAGGATGAGAGAGGCCCCGGCACGCAGGAGCGGCAGTGCTTGAGCCAGGCAGGGACGAGCGGGCAGAAGCACGCCATGGGAAAGGACGGGGCCAAAGAAGGGAGGAAGAGGGACCAGCAGCAGCAAACCCCCAGGTCTGCCAGCGGTGTTTTGTGCAACTGCACTGTTACGGACTTCGCTTTACAGAGCAACTTCACCGTTTGCCCGAGGGCAAGGTCAGCACTTGGGATCTCTCTCCCCAGTTCCTCTGGATTAAGCCAAGAAAGCCCCAGAGCACACAGACATCTGGTTTGTAGGGAAGGTTTGCACAACAGGGACAGACTAGACATTCTTCATCAGACTCGCCATCTTCCTTCCATTTCCTGCACCTTCCCATCTGATGTAGTTTTGCCACCTTCCCCACAAGAGCTACTACAGTCACACCCAAAGGAGACTTGCCTGGCTCTCTAGGGACACAGCCTGCACCCACCACCACCACGCGGCCGGCATCCCGCTCACTCCTATGCCCAACCACACTAACGGTGTGGACTCAATCTCGCAAAAAGCAGATACAAACTTTTCTTTTTTAATGCCAACATGAATACATAATTCGTTTGTATGTTTTAAACAGGAGAGAGGGGAAGAAGTTGGAGCAGATGATGACAATAAGCAAAAGTCAAAGACATTGGCTCAAAACCAGCCATACTGTGCCTTGAAAGCAAGCCCATGAAGTTTAAGGCGAGGCATCAGGAAGACTGGGGAGAGGGGAGCAATAAAAGGAACAAACAATTTTGATAACACAATTTGACCAAAGAGTGAGAAATAATGTGTGAATGTATGATTAATAGGCTGCTGCATCTCCCAGGGAAGGTCTAGACCTATGTATGAAAAGACACACCTGAGGATTTTTTCATTTGCTACCCCAACAATACAAGATCTTTGGCAAGTCTGGCGCCTCTCCTTCTAGTGCTGACCCATCTAAGGTTTAACAGTTTGTTTTCTTTGAAAACAACACACAATTAACCATGGTAAAATATTGTTTCTTTTTCCTTTGAAGAGCCTTAGAAAGGCAAATAGCTGTCATTCACTTGACTCAGAAGCAATACATAAAATGCAAATATTTTATTTAAAAGACTACACAGCTTGAAACTTAAACCTCAGCGCCCTCCAATTTCACAGGCAACGTTTAGACTGTATTGTTTATAATAACAATGGCCCTGAGCCACACTTCAGCATAACCCGTGCAGTTAAAGGTAACAGAAACATTAGAAGTGCACAAATTGCACATCAGACTCTTTAGGTTACTCATAGTCATCACAAATAGCTCTGCAGTTATTTTGTACAGAAGGACTCCTACTCCAAGAGTCTTTAACAGGACTAATAGCTATAAACCAGACTGTTTAGATTTGAGGATGGGCATTTTTTGCAATCAAGCAGCTTTGGAAATTGAGGAAACCCCCACATACACACTGTGTTCATAACCAGAATTCTTTTGGGGTCGCAGACAGGACTTGAGAAAATTATTCAGGGATTATATACACAGGATTGCATCAAGCATCCAGGCATTTCAGGAGACGCAGAGTTAGTTTAATGGGCGGCTGCTGCTCGCTACGATCTGACCCATCCCGCTTCCCTGCACGTACAGTTCATCCAGTGCTCCACAGAAATAAAACCGTTCTTTTGGCTTAAAGGCTTACAGGACTGCATGGTCCGACACAGCGCAGGGTCCCGCTCCTCCCGGGTAACCGGCTCCGGCGTCCAGGGAAAAGGGCTTTGTGAAGTTACTTGCACAACCAGTAAACACGCCAGCAAACCAGGACGTAAAGATCAAACCATCTACCTTCTTAGTACTTACGAGAAAGAAAAAGGAACGTTCAAACGACGGCGGTCCCTGTTCCAACACCGTTCGTAAGCGATGCCCGAGCCCCCCGCAGAGCAGCCCGCCGCCCGGGGCCCGGGGCCGGGCAGAGCCGCAGGGAGCCTTCGCCC